TTTTTCCATCCGGAACTCTGTCCTACCCGGCAGGTGGGGAATGCACGCTCTCCATTGGGCCTGAAGGGGACAAAGGACGAGACGAGTCCTGGCGGACCTCCAAACGAGCCCAAACCCTAAACCCTATAAACACTAAACCCTAAACCCTAATCCTAAAACACCTCAAGCCGTCCCCTACCGTGAAGCACGTGGGGAGCACGAACAAAACCCGAAAACCCAAAACGCTCAACCTTTCCAGGGCGAAAAAACCTACGCATGGAGCGTTTTACTCCAACTTATGTCCTGATTGAAGAAGCCCCTTCAAAGGGCGGGCGGCCGTGGTATAATCACTGTGAAACACGGGCCATCGAGGGACGACAATGTGGAGAGCTACCGACTGGTGCACCCCAACCTCGACGCAGCCCAAAACAGCCAACATGTTGGCAACCCCCCTCCCGCCCCCCAACCCGATAGGGTTTAGGGATTAGGGTTTAGGGTTTAGGGTTTAGGGTTTAGGGTTTAGGGTTTAGGGTTTAGGGTTTAGGGCTAAGGGCTCAAATCCCTGGACGACCTTTCATTTCTGCAGGCATATCATGAGGCCATTTTAATTCTGCTTTCAGCTGCATATTTTCTTACGTAAACACAGAGAGATACCTATATGCCCATGTACACCCCAACTAGACTCTAAACCCTAAACCCTCAACCCTATGCCCTAAACCCTAAACCCTAAACCCTAAACCCTAACCCTAAACCCTCAAACTCCCTCTCCTCGCCTCCGAGCCAGGATGGGAACTCCTCCGGTGCGGGCGCCGGGCCCTCGACATGGTCAACCTTCCTCTGGTCGACCTGCTCTGAAGCAGCAGCCTTGCTCTGAGGGCTCTTAACTTGGGTTTAGGGCTTAGGGCTTAGGGCTTGGGGTTTAGGGTTTAGGGGTTAGGGCTTAGGGTTTAGGGTTTAGGGCTACACTATTTTAAGTTTAAAGGTTAAGGTCTTGGGTTTAAGGGACCTAAACCCAAGGGCTCTAAGGCTCCAAGCGCTCTTTTTCCTTTTTCCCCTCCCTCGGTGTGGGGTTGTTAGATGTTCAACTCAACCCTTCTCCTCGCCGGTCTACTCTCGCTCATCCCTAGAGCGCCCAATTCCAGAGTGTCCCTGTACCAGAGTGTCCCTGGAGTGCCCTGCCCCAGAGTATCTCTACCCACAAAAATTGGGAATGCTCGAAGTAAACAAAAGTTTGGGTTTAGGGTTTAGGGTTTAGGGTTTAGGGTTTAGGGTTTAGGGTTTAGGGTTTAGGGTTTAGGTTTTAGGGCCAAAAGGTTTCTTACCTTGCGTTTCGCAAGGTGTTTGGGGCCATTTTGAGCCTAAGGGGCAGCCGTGCACCCAAAAGGCCTAACGAGAGCCTTGGAGCCCTGGGAGCCATGCAATTCTGCTGTAGCCCTAAGCCCTAAACCCTAAACCCTAAACCCTAAAACCCTGGACTCAACAACGCGAGCATCCCGGCAAAGCAGAACTGAAACCCTCAAGTCTCGACATTCTGGTCGCCTTCTGAGGAGTTTAGGGTTTAGGGTTTAGGGTTTAGGGTTTAGGTTTAGGGTTTAGGGTTTAGGGCTACAGCAGAAGGGCATGTAGCCCTTCAGAGCTGACTTCAGCAGTCCAAAACAATCCGAAAAGCCTCCGGGACCTGCACTTTGGCCGGGGGCGGGAGCATGTCCCGGAGGAACCTCCGGCAGCTCTGTTCGGTCGGGATAAGGGTTTAGGGGTTTAGGGGTTTAGGGGTTTAGGGGTTGAGGGTTTAGGGGTTTGGCGGTCTAGGGGTTTAGGGGGTTAGGGGTTTAGGGGTTTAGGGGTTCAGGGTTTAGGGGCTTAGGGGCTTAGGGGTTTAGGGGTTTAGGGGTTCAGGGGTTTAGGGGCTTAGGGGTTTCGGGTTTTAGGGGTTTAGGGGTTTAGGGGTTTAGAGCTCTAGGGGTTCAGGGGTTTAGGGGTTTTAGGGGTCTAGGAGTTTAGGGGTTTAGAGCTTTAGGGGTTTAGGGGGTTTAGGGGTTCAGGGGTTTAGGGGTGTAGGGGTTTAGAGCTTTAGGGGTTTAGGGGTTTTAGGGGTCTAGGGGTTTAGGGGTTTAGGTGTTTAGGGGTTTAGGGGTTTAGGGGTTTAGGGGTTCAGGGGTTTAGGGGTGTAGGGGTTTAGAGCTTTAGGGGTTTAGGGGTTTTAGGGGTCTAGGGTTTAGGGGTTTAGGGGTTTAGGGGTTTAGGGGTTTAGGGGTTTAGGGTTGAGAGGGTCTAGGGTTTAGGGGTTTACGGTTTAGGTTTGCAGGGTGTTGATGACAAAGCCACACCAGCTGGGTTTCGGGTCTGGGGTTTGGGAACCTACCCCTAGCAAAGTCACCTTGGAAGACTGGAGGGTTGCGTCGGTGTTCTCTATACGGGTGTGTGAAGAAAATAAAGAGAGTATATATATATATGTATAGAAAGATGTACACGTACATGTATGATGCGTAACCCCAAACCCTAGACCCTAAACACCCCAGATATACACCAACCCCTAAGATGGACAGCTGGCCTGAGGACTGTCGGATGCTCCGCAGCAAAGCCCAGGGCACTGGCACCTGACCCACTTTCCTTGGGAGGAAGGGAAGCTCAAGGACAAAAAGGAGGGGCGATTCAGGGTTTAGGGTGGGGACCGTAGGGATCATGTAAGAGCTACCTAGGTACATGGGGATTGTACACGTTGAAGAAGGGGCGCAGGGTTCTTCAATCATGGGACTCACCCTAAACCCTAAACCCTAAACCCTAAACCCTTAAACCTTAAACCTTAAACCTTAAACCCTAAACCCTAAACCCTAAACCCTAAACCCTAAACCCTAACCCAAAACCCTAAACCCTAGTCTCCTAAGGTGGTACCTTTGGGTTTGGGGACCCTTTTCAGGATCCTCTCAGGGAATAGACGGGCCATACTGGGAGAATGCTACGGGAACCTCTTAGGCGTACATCCTTAGGGCTTGGGGTTTAGGGTTTAGGGTTTAGGGTTCGAGGGGTCGCACGATTCAGGACTACAGGGAAGGGACCCTTACAAGGGACCTCAGGGGTAATGCAGTGGCTACTTAGGTATATAGAGGCCATGGGGTTATACAGGGGGAAAGGGAAACCAGCCTAAACCCTCAACCCTAAACCCTACACCCTAAGCCCAAACCGTTCTCCATGTGCCTAGACCCCAAACATCCGTAAACCCTTTAGGGTTTCGGACTACCATGCAGCAGGCGTCAGGACCGTTTAGGGTTGAGGACCTTGTTTGCGGGTTTAGGTTGTAGGGTTTAGGGGGTAGGGTGTAGGGTTTAGGGTTTAGGTTGAGGGTTTAGGGTTTGAGGTTTCGGGTTTAGGGTTTCGAAAACACACTCGAAACCCCAAATGGAGCTTTTGAGGAACGGTCCTGGAGTTTGAGGATCCAGGGCATGAGACTTCTAGGAGAATTCTCTGCGTACTCGAAGCTGGGCAAGGTTTAAGAACCTCTGTCTCCCTACTTCTGAAGGTGATTTTTGTGTCTTGGCACACGTAGGGTGCTTAGGGTGCTTTGGGTGCTTAGGGTTTAGGGACCCTAAACCCCAAACCCTAAACCCCAAACCCCTAGGCTCAGCTCGCTTTTTCGCCTCGGTCACGCAAGGTCCTGTAGGACGCGCTCGCCTTTTTGTGTTCAAATCAATTGCGGAGCGCCACCCCGCATTTCTGGGGGTTTAGGACCGATTTCTTTCGGACTGACACCACCTTGTTGCTGGTTGCTTTGCCTTGTGTGGGTTTAGGATTTAGGGTTTGGGGTTTCGGGTTTATCGGGTTTAGGGTTTAGGGCTTCCTGGTAACTCAGCTTCAATCTTCTTAACAGTGGCCCAGTTTTTCAATCAATGGCACCCGCTGTTCGAGGTCCCTTGGCTCGCCATTTCTGGACTGGATGGCCTCGACACACGACACTATAAGCGCACACCCCTCGTCAACAAAAAACAAACGCTGAGTTCTAAACCCTAAACCCTATAAACCCTAAACCCTAAACCCTAAACTCATCAACCCCACAAGCCCTAGCACATGGCGCATTCAGCTTGAATGGGTAGTTTTGGTGCAGCATCCATTGAAAAAGTAAAAAGCGAAAAGGGGGGGGGGGCTTGTATTGGTAACTGTTTGAGCGTTCGAATTTTCTACTTACTTCTCCAATAACCAAGGAATGAAAAAGGTAAGCTTTCCTCCTACAAAATTGCGAAAACCCAAAAGTCTCAAGTTCGCTTATTGGCAAAGCAAGTTCCACCTCTACATTATGACATTCCCTACGTACTAACCACACAAAATGTCCAGTTCACATATTGGCAAATAAAGTCTAAGCCAGAGGGCCTTCAAGTACGGGGGCGAAAGCTACGTGCAGGACGCAGCGAGCATTTTCGAAGAGATTTGCGCGGGTTGTGAAGGCCAGGCGCTCCGAACCCCAAACCCCTAAAAGGTTTTAAGGGGTCTTCGGGGGTTTTCAGGGGTTTCAAAGGGGTGTTTTGAGGGGTCTTCAGGGGTTTTGAGATTTTTTAGAGGTCTTCGAGGTTCTTAAGGGGTTTTAAGGGTCTAGGTACGACAACATTCTACAACCCGCGATGCTCAGATGGCTAGAGCCACAAGCTGACTCCAGATTTCCCGCTGAAGCTCCAAGGAAGCTCTCTAGCGAGAGAAGACTGCCGCAGCACAAAGGGCTTTTAGGGTTTAGGGTTTAGGGTTTAGGGTTTAGGGTTTAGGGTTTAGGGTTTAGGGCGGGTATGTTCTCTATGTAGGGGCGAGCTCGAGTGGAGCCGTGGCAGGGCTCCTCAGGGCGCCGCGTGCATCTGACGGAGCTCAAGCTCAAGCAAGTCCAGGTGCTTGATGGGATAGTCCTTTTTGGCTTTGGGGTTTAGGGTTTAGGGTTTAGGGTTTAGGGCTTAGGGGTTTAAGGTTTAGGGTTTAGGGTTTCCAACACCTTCAACCCTAAGAAGCACAACCAAAGCAACCAGGGAAAAGATGCAAGATTCAAAGGTCCGATCTGTAGTTGGTGTTGCACACGGTATACCGTCCTGTGGCTTGTGTGTCGTGCTGGTGCTTGCAGTTCTTCATAATGTTCTTACTGTATTTATGCTTCTTCTCATTCTGGACGTGGTGAGACAAATGATGAGTCTACTTTCAAGTCCAAGCCCTTCCTTGAGACCCGAAATCCTGAGACGCGCAAGCCGAACTCCGTAGACACAAAACCGACGTCTCAAAACTTCTCCTCTGCCCCCCACCCTTGTGGCACCGGTTGAAATCACAGGGTTGGCAATTGCTTTCCCTAAACCCTAAACCCTAAACCCTAAACCCTAAACCCTAAACCCTAAACCCTAAACCCTAAACCCTAAACCCTAATCTTGGGATGTCCAAGACTCGGCCACTTCCGAAGCAGGAAAAGCAGCTGCCTCAGCCCAAGCACCGAACCAAAACAGCGTTTAGGGTTTAGGGTTTAGGGTTTAGGGTTTAGGGTTTAAGGTTTAGGGTTTAGGGTTTCGGGTGGTGTAGGGGGATTCGCACGGTCGGCCCCTATCCCTCTTCAAAGGCTGAATTTTACTTCGGAAAGAAAGACATGAACCCTAACCATAAACCCCAAACCCTACACCCTAAGTGCTAAACCCTACAAACCCTAAACCCTGCCCAACTTCAAACACCGGAAACTAAAGATGCTCCTGCCGCCGAGCTACAATGAGAATAGACATCACGACTGTCTCCTTGGCGCCGGAATCTCAGGTCTCCCCAAACACTAAACACAAACCCTAAACTCTCGCTAGGGGGGGGCTCATCTCCATCGACGAGCTGCAAGAAGCGTAGCGAAGGTCTTCCAAAAATGTATCAGCCGCATTTTGTCCTCAGGGCGCGAGCCGAACCTTGACCTCCCTAAACCCTAAACGACCAGAGCCCTAGACCCTAGACCCTAAACGCTGCACCCAAAACCCTCTTTTGCATCCGGGCTCTAAACCCCAAACCCCAAAAACCCTAAAAACCCTACAAACCCTAAAAAACCCTAAAAACCCAAGAAAAAAAACCAAAAAAAAACAAAAAACAAAATGACCCAAAACCCAAAACCCTCCCTAAACCCTGTCCTCAGGGTGGGCAGGGTCCACCCAGCAGTTCTTCTCCGGGGCCAGATACGGAACGATGTGGCCAAGCAGCTGCCCCTGAAGAAGAGTCAGGCCCACCATGGCCTGACAGGAGGTGTAGGGTTTAGGGTTTAGGGTTTAGGGTTTAGGGTTTAGGGCTTCTGGTTTAGGGTTTAGGGGTACGAGTATCCCCACAAGAAAACCCAAAATGTACGTTCACCAGTATACGGAGCCCTATATACACTCACCAATAATATATAACATAATCCCTGCTTCACATGGGTGTCCTCGCTCACTCTCGCACTCGGACAAACCAGGCTCTAGGCACTCGGTCAATGGTCACTGACGCGGAGCCATGGTAGGCTCGGGTAAGTGTTGTAAGGTTTCGGGTTTCAAGGGCCTAAACGCTAAACCCTAAACCCTAAACCCTAGACCCTAAACCCTAAACCCTAAACCCTAAACCCCAGACCCTAAACCCTAAACCCTAAACCTCCCGCATAGCCGGCCAGACCGCAAAGAAGGGTGAATGTCTACTGTTCTTGGTGGGAAAAAGCTTCTTCATCAACCGATCCTTGACTCTTTTATCGCCTAAACCCTAAACCCTAAACCAGAAGCCCTAAACCCTAAACCCTAAACCCTAAACCCTAAACCCTAAACCCTAAACCCTAAACCCCCAAACCCCCAAACCCCAAAAACCCTGAAGCTTAGGACTCCTATGATACAATGGAGCCTTATCCTAAGCGGGGGCCCCGATGATAACTGGCCATGAACCTTCACGGAGGGGTCTTCAGGTCGCCTGTATTGGGGCTTAGGGTTTAGGGTTTGGGGTTTAGGGTTTAGGGTTTCGGGTTTGGGGTTTGGGGTTTAGGGTTTACGGTTTGGGGTTTAGGGTGTAGGGTTTAGGGTTTAGGGATTCGGACACCTTCACAGAGACGAACTTCTTGGTGGTGTTCCAGCCATGGAGTAAGTCGTGGGTTGCCGCATACATCACGAAGAGCCCATACATCCTTGGGCAGCCCAGTAGCCATCTTATAATTAAGGGTACCCTTCTTTGGGGGGTTGGTTACTTTACCCTGAGCCCTAAACCCTAAACCCTAAACCCTCAACCCGAATCCCAGAAGGCCTAAAAACCCTAAAAGGGGTACCACTGGGCTACAAAGCGGCGCCAACAGGCCGGAGACCTTCAAGATCGTGTCGGCAAAGGCGTCTATTTGCCACCCCGGCTCCAAGGTAAGTCGGGCCCACATGAAGTAGGCATTTACCTTAGGTATAGGGTTTAGGGTTTAGGGTTTAGGGTTTAGGGTTTGATTTGCCTTACGCTTCTCTCAGGTCCAAAGATTCGAGTTTAGGGTTTAGGGTTGGGGGTTTCCTACAACGAGGGGGCCCTAGCAGGGCACCCCTAGTATCGGAAACCCCCATGTGCCATAGAGCTTTGGTACCTAGTCTCTACATTCAGAAACGAGGCTGGAGACGAGAGCCCCTAAACTTTCCTACGCCCTAAACCCTAAACAACCCTAAACCCTAAACCCTAAACTTTAAACCCTAAACCCTAAACCCTACAAACCTCTCCAGGCGCCCGAGCCAAGTCGCAAAGACCTGTACGATGACATACTGCCTCACCAGCCGCGAAACCCAAAGTAACTGCCTCGCCGTAAGGTGGTGGGGCTGCACGAGGCCTTAGTTGTCCAGTCCAGTACCTAGGGAAGCTTAAGGGTCAACCTTTGGGAATATACATGGATTCTATTGCCCAAAAAGGTTAAAGGTTACCTACTCTGCAACTAAGAGGCATTTGAAGCAGCATCCGAAAGGCGGCACGGCAAAGTACTTCTGGGGCCCATACTTCCTTACAGCTTTTGCAGCTTCCCCAATTCCTTCCAGCTCAAATCCTGTTTTTTTAGGCATGCGGCAGCATGGCCCTTTAAAAAAAAGACGATGCCGTACCCAAAAGAGTGTCTACTCATGTGAAGCCACGGATCCGAAGTGTCTGGATAACACCGTGGCTACCTGCGAGCCGGGCTGACCGCGAGGAAGATGCCTCGTCCTCCACACTTTCACTTTCACCCTGCCTCGTGGCCTCCACAGTAACGAGCATGAAGAGGACGACCACGAAGGAGTAGAGGGCAAAGGCCTCACCTGAAAGGTTTAGGGTTTAGGGTTTAGGGTTTAGGGTTTAGGGTTTAGGGTTTAGGGTTTAGGGTTTAGGGTTTAGGGTACGAACACTCAATTTCAGACACCCCTAGATGCCCTCAAAACCCTGGGGGGGTTGCCATACTCCCCTTCGAACCTTGATAAAGATACAATTTTGATCTCCCCTTGGGTTTTAACTAATGAAGTACAAAGAATAATTCCTTAGGGGCTATAGGTTTATTCGTGTTTCTGGCATGGGGGTCTCCAAGTTGGCCGTTAAGCGCCTTGGCCCATGAAAAGCTCAGCCAAGGGCGTCGCCAAGGGGGTGAAGAGCGTGGCCCAGGAGAGAAGGGCCCAAATGGTTGGAAAGGCAAGCATGCCGTGGTACGACGTCCGAAGCCTCTGTCATGGGCTGAGACTTGGGTGTTGTTTTTGTCTGGCCAGTGTCTCGCAACAACAAAGAGACAGCACAAGAGACTCCAAACACAAGTACCTTATAAACCCCGAACCCTGAACCCTGAACCCTAAACCCTAAACCCTAACCCCTAAACCCTAAACCCCTAAACCCTAAACCCCAAACCCTAAACCCAATCCACCCATGCCAAGAAGCAGGCAAAGTGGTCTGGCATCCAATGATCGCGAGTGACGAATACACAAAGTCATAGTGACCACCAAAGCCAGGGAGCCTCTGCTGCTAGGAGCTTCAGGGTACGTATAAGCCCGCGAAGTCCTGTAAGTAGGTTATAGGGTTTAGGGTTTAGGGTTTTTACTTGATGGGTACATTTTGGTACCCCAATTACAGCTGTACTTCTGAGCTCCCCCCTTAAACCGTGCATGCTCTTTCGACTCACTGCGCAGACCCTAAGCCAACTCGACAAAGGAGCCGATGGTGGTGGCACTTAGGAAAGCGCTGGGGCTTTCCTCCACGCAGCGAGCCACGTACTTCGGCATTCGGAAATACTCGCGCCTTGCCCATTGCTCGGCCATGCTTTCCGCCATCGCGACTTGAAAAACCCCTTTCAAAACTTGAGCCCTAACTCCTAAGACGCCACCCGAATCGAGGAAACCGATAGAAAGTGCGTGGTATCATGATCGGCTCTGCCACGATTACCCTGGTAAAGCCACTGGAAACCCGTGCTTGAGAGAAGACGGCGTGGAGATCGTAAACCCTCACCCATGCCCGAGGAGCCCAGCAACCATGTGATCAAGAACGCGTCCCCTGGTTTCTGCTGCTGGTTTCGGGTTTCGGGTTTCGGGTTTAGGGTTTAGGGTTTAAGGTTAGGGTTTTTAGTTTAAGGTGTAGGGTGTAGGGTTTGGGGTTTAGGGTATAAGGGTTCATGGGTTGCTAAACAAAAGGAGCCATCGGCAAATCAAAAAAAAGGGCACAGCTGGTCGCTTCCCAGCGTGCTAGCAATGAAACTGGAACATCTTCTTGAGTGTGATGCATGGGCTCTGTAGACCCCAAAAACAAACTTTCAAGCGCCGAAAACCCTAAACCCTAAACCCTACACCCTACACCCCTAACCCCTAAACCCTAAACCCTAAACCCTAAACCCTAAACCCTCAACCTCAAGGCCCGAGTCTCATGGAGGATGTCGGCCCGAGCCTCTGCCAAGGCCTGGAAATCGCACCAAAAGGCCGGGGGTTCTCTGGCTTCTTACTACCCACCGTCTGGGGTTTAGGGTTTAGGGTTTAGGGTTTGGGGTTTAGGGTTTAGGGTTTAGGGTTTAGGGTTGCAAATTAAGGTTCTCTTGCTTCTAGGGGAAGTTATATCACGGGTTCCCCTACTACCCCCCTCCAGGGTTTAGGCTACAGGGCACGGTTTAGGATTACAAAAATATATTTACATGGCCCCTTCATATGGTCCCTCTACCTTTCTTTAAAGGCTTCTGAGGTCCTAACCCCTAGACCCTAAACCCTAAACCCTACTGACGAGCCCAGTTCTAAGGGTATTTACATGGTTCCTTTTCCTAGTGCAAAGGGGTTCTGAAGTATGGGCCCTGTAGGTATATTTGGGGTATAAAAGCGTTCCCCAATAAAGGGCCCATAATAAGGTATCAACCCGAAGCCCTATACACCCTAGTTTACGCCCTAAACCGTAAGTGCTTCTTGTCTTGGGGTATATAAGGGTTCCCCAATTGAGGGCCTACCGTAAGGGACCATGTAACTACCAAGACTTGCTGGGCACCCTGTGAGGCTTTAGCCCTTTACCCCTCACACCCTGGCCTTGGGCCCTAAAGCAACCCTTCAAGGGCTTTAGGGGTTAGGGTTTATGGTCCATGTACCTTTAGGGACAAGTTTTTATCTCCGCCACAAGAGACCTCCTGCAACGTAATAAACGTGGTCGCTCATGTGCCTTTGCTTCTCTCTCTGTCTCTCGCCCCTTCCCCTCCCAAAATAAAAATTGATGAGTAGAAATAAGAAGAAATAAACAAGACTTCAAGAGGTTCTGTAGGATTAGGTTCTACTTTCCTAGCAGGGAATTCGGGAAAGGGGAACCCTCGCTGTTTAACTCCTCTAGGGTCCATGAGGTATAGGAACCCCTAAACTCCGTTTCCACCTCCTCCCCCCCCTCCCCCCCGACCCGTGCCTGACAAAGCTCGAGGTCACCAGCGCAGGCGGCCTGAAAGGTGCCACGTACCAAGGCCGGCCCCTGTACCCGCCAAGAACCCTTCTCCCTAAACCTAAAACCCCCGCTTTCCCCATCCCCCGAAACCCGAAACCTCTGTCCTGAACCCTATGAACAAAAAACCCTTATATGGCCATTTCCCAATATGGGGGGGGGGGGGGGTACCCTAATATACCCCCGAACCAAATACTAGAATCCTTATCATAAGGCGAGGAGACGCGGACTGCTGGGATTAACCCTAAAGCTCAGGGTTTGGGGTTGAGGGTAATCCTGTACCCTGCACCATTTTGCGTCCAGGCCTATGCGAACAGTTTACCCTAAACCCCTGAAACCCTAGAACAAACCCTAAACCCTTACTAAACCCTAAACCCTAAACCCTAAATCCTAAACCCTAAACCCTAAACCCTAACCTACCTAAGACCCTCAAACAACGCCTCCATCAACGGGGTCTCGCCCTGAGAGTCCTGCCAGTTCCTCGGCCCCGGGGCTGAAGTAGGGTTTAGGGTTTAGGGTTTGGGGTTTAGGGTTTAGGGTTTGGGTTTAGGGTTTAGGGCTCAGGGCTCAGGGCTCAGGGTTCAGGGTTCAGGGTTTAGGGCTTCGGGCTTGGGGTTCAGGGTTCAGGGTTTAGGGTTTCGGGTGTTGGCCCGCAAGAGACCCGCAGTGTCGTTGGGGTCTGTCGGGCTTTGTTTCGGGTAGCGGCCATGCTTTGTCAAGTTCAAACAAAGCATGGCCGCTAAACCCTAAACCGTAACGCTAAACATATTTCTAGGCCTTCAGCGGCTGTGGGCGTTGTAAGGTTGCGGATTCACTTTTTCTAGACCACAGAGTAACCTAGTAAGAAAAGAGGACGCCCCTCTTGGCTTAAAAGGGATTACAAGGGAACCAAAATGCCATAAAGAGCCCACTCTGGGTCCTCGTTTTCTTACACCCCTCAACCCGAGGCTTGTGTAGGGGGGTCAGGGTTTAGGGTTTCGGGTTTAGGGTTTAGGGATAGGGGTTTAGGGTTTAGGGTTTAGGGTTTAGGGTTTAGGGTTTAGGGTTTAGGGTTTAGGGTTTCGGGTTTAGGGTTTAGGGTTTAGGGTTTAGGGTTTAGGGTTTAGGGTTTAGGGTTTAGGGTTTAGGGTTTAGGGTTGCCCGATAGCGACAAGAGGATGAGGTGGAGCAGATGAAGTGCTTTCCTTCGGGCCTGTCCTGGCCTCCCGGCCCCTTCTTCGAATCTCCTTACTTCTTCTACCTTCTGCTTCTTTGCCTTAGCTAGGATTTAGGGGCTTCCGAATCTTCATCTACGGCTAAGGTTTTTGGATGTTTTGGGGCCCTTCAGGGCGTCATTCGTGTCATTCGTTTAAAGAGCCCAATGCCCCTTAATGAAGGAATAGACCTGAGTTGAGAAAGAGATTCTTCACATGACTTAAGGTGTATTCCTTAATTCATATAAGGATCCTTGGTGTGAGTGAAGGTCTATTCCTTAATTCACGGGCATTGGGCTCTTTGGGCTTGACCCTCTACTTGCACCCTTGTTGAGCCCCCAGGGGCTGGGGGGGGGGGGGGGGGTGAACCCCTAGGGTGTAGGGTTTAGGGTGTAGGGTTTAGGGTTTAGGGTTTAGGGTGACTTGAACCGTACCCGGGCGCAGCCAACAACGAGCATCGGGGGCTTGGGGGGGGGGGGGGGGGGTTTGAACCCCTAGGGTTTAGGGTTTAGGGTGTAGGGTTTAGGGTTTAGGGTTTAGGGTTTAGGGTTAAGGCTTAGGGCCCCCAAAACCCTCAACAGGGTAGGGCTTCCGGTTTAGGGTTTCGGGTTAGGGTTTAGGGGCCCCCCAACACCCTCACAGTGCCGAGGCGCGGATCAGCCCTCCCACTCAGCAAGCAGTGGACCTGGTGACTGGTCTGTTTAAGGTTTAGGGTTTAGGGTTAAGGGCAGTTCCATGGTCCTTCAATATGGGCCCTTAGATGGAGGAAACTTATATGCCCCTGATTTTGCTTATGAGACACAAGGGCCCATCCCTTTAGATTTAAAGGAAGGTCGATAGCTGGGCTCGTGAGCTTTTGGGTAGGGTTTAGGGTTTAGGGTTAGGGGTCTAAGGTTTAGGGTTTAGGGTTTGCAGTAGACCTCTGGCCCTCTAAGTCCCCACCATTGGGCATGACAGGGTGCCAGAAGCCCGGTTGCCATATCCGGAAAACCCCAAACCCACTTCCTGCCTCGAGCCCTTCCACGCCGAAATGCAAATCCTACAAGTACCCTGCGCACGTCAATTGCGCGAGCTGAGGATCCCAAATTCGGTAACAGCTCCCCCTGCCCTTCCGCACGCCCCCTACTGAGCGCCGAGCGGCCCAGGAATAACAAAAGCCCCGACAATCCGAAACATCACAACGTCGAGCACCCCACATTATCCCACATTCCACATCATCATACTTACCCAGAGTGTCCATGTGTAGTACTATTATGGAAATAGGCACCCCAAAACCATACTAAATAGGGTTTTTGGGTACCTAATTCCATAATGGTACTACAAATGGACCCTCTGGGTTACATCTTGAGCCACGCGCCGCAACCGGTCCAGGGTGCGGGTATAGGCGTAAAGGGTCTACCTGTAGTCTCCCTTGTAGTTCCTTGTTGTGGCTAACCAAACTCTCTATTCTAGGGTCCTAAACCAAATTCTCTATCACAGGGTCCTGACCTTGAAGCCGGGTAACCAAAAACGGAACCACCATGGAGACTACTATTCCAGGGTCCTATAGAAAACCTTGAAGCCAGCTAACCAAAAGAGGAACTACACTTGGCTGCACTTAGTAGGGTAGCTAGAAACTAAATTTTAGCAGCCATATTAAGAAACCCAATAAGCCCAAAAAGGCTAAGGATAAAAATATACAGTAAAGCACCAGAGTACCATGGAGACTACCACTACAGGGTCCGATATAGAACCTTAAAGGCCTAAACCCTAAACCCTTTTTTAACCCTAAACCCTAAACCCTAAACCCTAAACCCTAAACCCTAAACCCTAAACCCAACAGAAAGAAACTACAAAGGAGACGATAGGCCGGCTCTGAGCCCGCGCGCCGTTACCAAGCGATCTGCTGGCGCGTCGGAAAAGTCTGGCCAAGTCAAGGTGGCTAATGAAGGGTTTAGGGTTTAGGGTTTAGGGTTTAGGGTTTAGGGTTTAGGGTTTTAGGGTTTAGGCTTTAGGGTTTAGGGTTGAGGGCCAAACTTAAGGATTAGGGTTTAGGGCCCAGGTAATTCTTGGGTTGTGGGGTCTGTCGCAGTCATGTATGTATACACATAGAGGAAGGCAAAGAGTGAGACGGCACCTTCAACAGCATACTGAGAAGCCCAAAACCTTGCCAGAACCTGTTTAGGGTTTGGGGTTTGGGGTTTAGGGTTTAAGGTTTGGGTCGCGCATGGCTCTGATGGGAACACTGACGTCGGAATTTGCAGGGGCCTGTGCTGGCGGCGGAACGTGAGGCCAAGAGCAACAAGCTTTCCTGCACTGGAGGCTGGAATGCTGTAAAGGGTTTAGGCTTTCGGGTTTAGGGTGAGTGTTTGACTAAAAGGTTGAATGAAAGAGATCCTGAACTCTGCTGGTCGAATCAAATCGCGAGAGAGAGAGAGAGAGGGTTGGGAAAGACGGGGATAGCCTTGAAGCGGTTTGAGGTATAAACACTGGGGGGGGGCAGATTTAGGGTTTCGGGCCACTTTGCCTCAACACCAACGGAGAACACCAAACTGAGAAGAAGAAGAAGAAGAAACGTGACCTAAACCCTAAACCCTAAACCCTAAACCCTAAACCCTACACCCTAAACCCTAAACCCTAAACCCTAAACCCTACACTAGGGTCCCTTGAGTCCTGCATGAAATTCGTGGCGTTGGGATCTCCGTTGACAGCCAGGAGCTCGTGGACGAACGATCCTCGCAAAGGACCAAGGGTGCCAACTTGTGACTCGGGGGAGGAACAGGAAATAACTGTTAGAAGCTTATTGTATTGAAATAAGAAGAAGAATAGTAAACATATATATATATATATGTATATTCGGCATTGTTATATTGACTATAAGAAGAAGAATAGTAAAAATGTGAGGTCAAAACTATCAAAACCCCTCTTGCGGCTGGGCTTGTGTTGCGCCGAGCCGTGCAATCTCAAAGCCCTGCACCCGGTAACCTGGGTTCAGCGTTGGGTTACCCTCGCACCCTAAACCCTTTTTGAACGAGTTCTCTCTCACCCTAAACCCTAAACCCTAAACCTTAAGCCCTAAACCCTAAACATCGGGTAGGGTTTGGGGTTTGCGGCCGAGCCTGCCGCGGGAAGCTCCACGAGCCTGGCTCCACATATCTGGTCCAAGGAGTCTAAGGGTTTAGGGTTTAGGGTTTGGGGTTTAGGGTTTGGGGTTTAGGGTTTCGGACTTGGGGCTAGGGTTTAAGGCCTGAGGCTCAGGAGTCTAAGGGTGTTGTTTTTCCAAATGCCTAGCAGCGTCGCAAACACACTGCAGGGATTGAGAGTGGGCTTTGGGTTTGGGCTTTGGGCTTTGGGGTTTGGTTTGGGGTTTGGGGATTAGACTTTTAGGGTTCAGGGGTTAGGGTTCGGGGTTTAGGGCTTTAAGCCCTCTTCGTTTCTGTTGAAGGGGTCTGGGGTATGGAAATTGAATTAGGGTACAGTCAGAGGCCTACACCCTCGACCCGAAAAGGCGGGCCGAAGCCATCAATGCACACGGCCCTGCCTCGCCAATCCCGCAATCTTCAACCCCAAGCCCAAAATCTCAACCCTGTTTGGAGGTTCATTGGAACTTATAACCCCCATTATAGCTGTACTTATAAGCCCCCCTAAGTCCTCTTAGACTTTTCATTGGGGCTATGCAGTTACCTCCAAGTGTAGGTCCTTAACTTGAGAACAAGGCGATCTCTAAAACACATAAGGGGAAGCCCTAAACCCTAAGCCCTAAACCCTAAACCCTAAACCCTAAATCCTATAAAATACATAAAGGGAAGAATGCATCTAGAAGGAGCGAACAGATCATCCTTGGAACGTTGGCTAGGTGGCCTTAAGGTAAGGCCGCGTCTCCACGGGGCTTAGCTAAAAGCAGGTTGGTTCAACTCCAGGGTTTAGGGTTTAGGGTTTGGGGTTTAGGGTTTAGGGTTTAGGGCGAAGGGAGAGGTGTATTCAAGCCGCACCATGTTGTGCAGAGAAGACCCTAAAGTGCCCTAAGCCCTGAACACATGACAACCAGCACTCCATTCCACCTTCCTTCCGAGCTGTATGGGGGAGGATACCCTAAACCCTAAACCCTAAACCGCCGATCTTAGGCGCGCAACCTCTGATGCAAACCTTGAACCCCATTAACTCGTAAACCCAAACCCCGAATAATCCTCACAGATATGTATATATATATATATATATATGCATATACATATATATATATATATATATACAATATGCATAACATATGCATAACAGAATATCATAATACTAGTAGTAGTGATCCTTATTAAGCCCCGAAGATTTCTTCCGTGTCTGGGGCCCCGCGCTTTACAAGCAAGCAGTCGACGTTGCCCTCAACCCGAACAGGTCGCCGGGTGTTTTCAAAGGCTTTGGGGAGGGGGAAGAAGGGGGGGGGGGGGGGGGGTGGGTTCGGGTGAACACGTTTAGGGCTCCCCTTTGACGGTTTAGGGTTTAGGGGTTGGGGTTTAGGGCTTAGGGCCTAGGGCTCAGGGCTCAGGGCTTAGAGCTTAGGGCTTAGGGCTCAGGGCTTAGGGCTTAGGGCGTAGCGCTTAGGGTTTAGGGCCCCGTTGAGAGCAAACTAGGGGCACGTGGGCTTTCGTTTGGGTTTAGGACCGGCTTCTGGTTCTTGTTAGGGGGGTTTCGGTTTTTTGGGGGCTCAGGGGCTTTTTGCAGGGTTTGGGTTTTGGGGCTTTTTAGGGCTTCCGCGGGCTGTTAGGGCCGAATCCGGTTCCTTAGGGATTTTCGGGTGTACGATTCCATGACCGTGGGGGCTTGTTAGGGTTTGGGTTTGGGGTTTAGGGGTCTCTCTCCCTCCCTCTCTGGGCCCCACTCAAAAAGACCCGGAAGCCTCTGCAGGACTAAAAGGTTTAGGGTTTAGGGTTTGGGGTTTGGGGTTTAGGGTTCCGGGTTTCGGGAATCTGCTAATAAGCGGAAAGAGGTTGCAACCGGGGAAGGAAATTAGGCAGCCAGGTCCCTCATATCCCCCACCATCCCCCCCCCTAGAAATCCGGCCCTCATTGCAAGAAGGGGATATGGGTTCCAGGGTGTACAACTCTAAACCCGAAACCCTGAACCTCTCTTACATATATACAGAGATTTAAAAAATGTTGGGGAGTTCCTGGGCAAGGTCGCCGTTTTACTGGGCAAGGTCAGTTCGGCCAACAAAATGGACCTTGCCCAGTAAAACGGCGACCTTCGGGGCCGAAGGTAGCATTTTTACTGGGCAGGGGGGGGTGCCCGAAGGTCGCCGTTTTGCTGGGCAAGGTCGCTGTTTTACTGGGCAAGGTCGCAAGGTCGCCGTTTTACTGGGCAAGGTCGCCGTGCTACTGGGCAAGGTGGTTTTATGGTTCAGGCCCTACTGTGGGCTGGCTTTAGGGTTCAGGCCCCACTCTGGTTCAGGGCCGACTCTGGACTGGCTTTAGGGTTCAGGGCCGACCCCCACATCGCAAACCCTGCAACGATGAAGTGCTGCCTCTTATCTCCGTTTAGGGTTTAGGGTTTAGGGTTTAGGGTTTAGGGTTTAGGGCTTCCCGGCTACAAGGCATCGATCGAACCTGCCTCGATCTTAAGCTGCGTTGCCACGGCAGCCAAGTCCTCACCGCAGGCCGGCCCCTTTGCGCAAGGCTTGGGGCGTTTAAGAGCTTACCAGGGATTACCAGGGGCGGTTTTATGGGTTTATGAGAGCCGGGTTTATAAAAGGCTTTTAAGGGTTTTGAAGGGTTTAAGGTTTTAGGTTGAGGATTCTGGGGTTTTGTTTGGGGGTCTGTCTGTTCGATTCTGCTATCTCATGTCCTCTCTGCTGGGACCTCACTCCCCTCTCCCTGATCACACCACTTTCTCCCTCTCTGCCTCTCTCCCTCTTTGCCTCGCTGCCTCTCTGCCCCTCTGCCTCTCTCTCTCGCTCTCTCCCTTTCTCCCCTTCTCTCCCCTTCTCTCTCCTTCTCTCTCCTTCTCTCTCCCGCTCTCTCTCCTGCTCTCACTCCTTCTCTCTCTCCTTCTCCCTCTCCTTCTCTCTCTTCTGCTCTCTCTGTCTCTCCTCTTCTCTCTCCTTCTCCTTCCTTCTCTCTCGTTCGCTCTCTCTCTATCTCTCTCTCTCTCTGTCTTTATGGCTTCGAGTCTTGCCACAGACCCGAACCCCCCAATCTCACGACCCTAAACTGGGTTTAAAGGGTTTTCCCTTTTCGGGCTTGTAAGGTTTAGGGTCCCCCCTCCCCCCTCCCCTTGCTGTGGCGCGCCAGGAGTTGGCTCAGCAATGCAGTGTCCGCGGAACTGCTTGAATCCTTGGCTTCGGGGGTTTTTAGGGGTTTAGGGTTTAGGGTTTAGGGGTTTAGGGGTTTAGGGTTTAGGGCTGAAGGTTTACCCTAAACCCTAAACTTAGGGTTTAGGGCTGCTGAGAAAAGAGCGTTTCCCTAAACCCTAAACCTGAATCCCGGCCTGTACCCCGGAGCCAAGTTGTCAAGGGGGTGTTGGCTTCTGCTTTGTGGCAACAGTGTTTGGCCAAAGCAGATTCAGCGCGTCACCGGTTAGAACACGTTAACGAACTGACGGCACAAAACTTAACAGCACAAAACGCCCTACATTTAACAAACGTCGTGTTCTCCCCGCCCCCTCCTAAACCCCAAACCCTAAGCCCTAAGCCCTAAACCCCCTCCCCCTCCCTCGCCCCCCCCAAACGAGAACTTCTTTTCGCTCGCGCGTGCTGGAGCCAGTGGTTTACCCGTGTTTGGAGCCAAAGTGAAACGGCGCACCTCTCCCTGCCAGCAGCTTGTTTAGGGTTTAGGGTTTAGGGTTTAGGGTTTAGGGTTTAGGGTTTAGGGTTTAGGGTTTAGGGTTTAGGGTTTAGGGTTTAGGGTTGCCAGCAGCTGCTAGCAAGCCGAATTCCACGGAGTGGCGTGTGTGTTGGAATGGGTCCCCCTGTTTCTGGAAAGCAAGCGAACTCAGGTATGACCCCACACTAGCTCTACACCCTAGACCCCGCCAAGCCTCTCAGACTTACCCTAAACCCTAAACCCTAAACCCTAAACCCTAAACCCTAAACCCCAAGACCCTGGCGGCTGTGACGTTTCCAGAAATGCGGGGCATGCCACCCGGAACAGCCTGTTCTCCGTGAGCCCCGGGACTCAGGGCCCAAGGGAGCGCTTTCTCAGGATTCGTTCAGGGGTTTAGGGAGGGTTTAGGGTTTGGGGGTTTGGGGTTTAGGGTTTAGGGTTTAGGGCTAGGGTTTAGGGTTTAAACCTGGGGCCTGTGCAGCCCCAAGCCCTCAACCCACATGCAACTCGGGTTTGAGGTTTAGGGCTTAGGAGTCCCTAAACCCTAAACCCTAAACCCTAAACCCTAAACCCTAAACCCTAAACCCTAAACCCTAAACCCTCTGAAGCCCGTGGTTCTGAGGCCTTGAACGCACGAGGGTGGGGTGTTCTTCTTAGTAGCTGAGTTCATCGGCACGAAACAAGAGTGTGCACTTTCAGTTCTATAGGAGAGTATAGCCAACCCTAAACCCTAAACCCTAAACCCTAAACCCTAAACCCTAAACCCTAAACCCTAAACCCTAAACCCTAGCAGCGCAAAGTGAACTCGCTCAGCTACTAGGTCTTTATCGAGAGGTGATAAGGACTTGAGAGGGCCACGGCGAGTTCAGCGCTCCCCCTGCCATTAAACTTGGTGGGGTTTAGGGTTTAGGGTTTAGGGTTTAGGGGTTTAGGGTTTAGGGTTTAGGGCTTAGGGTTTTAGGGTTTTAGGGTTTAGGGTTTAGGGTTTAGGGTTTAGGGTTTAGGGTTTAGGGTTTAGGGTTTAGGGTTTAGGGTTTAGGGTACGCTGCTGACCTTTCCAGTAGGTCAGGTTTGCGGGTCGGGGGCCCACGTTCATCATTCCGTTTTCGACATGTTGGTGCTGCAAGGTAAAACGGCCAACCAAATTCATAAGTGGACATCTTAAAGTCAATCCATCTGCAACTCACAGCCCGGAAGAAGACGAAAATCAATCCCAATACCAGCCAGAACCTAGAACTTCTGGGGTAAGGTTTAGGGTTTAGGGTTTAGGGTTTAGGGTTTAGGGTTTAGGGTTTAGGGTTTAGGGTTTAGGGTTTAGGGTTTAGGGTTTAGGGTTTAGGGTTTAGGGTTTAGGGTTTAGGGTTTAGGGTTTAGGGTTTAAGGTTAGGGTTTGTACAGCTCCTCACTGGAACTGCACAGATGATGGCTCCAGACCAATCGTCGCCCAAATGGGCGACCTCGGCGTCTCCGAACACGCCAGTCTCATGGCTTCTGCCTGCGGCAAGCAAAACACCCTAAGCCCTAAGCCCTAAGCCCTAAGCCCTAAGCCCTAAGCCCTAAGCCCTGAGCCCTGAGCCCTGAGCCCTGAGCCTTAAGCCCGAAGCCCTAAGCCTCCAAAACCCTGAAAACCCTAAACCCTAAAAGCAATAAACCCTAAAAGCAACCCTAAACCCTAGACCCTAAACCCTAAGCCGCAGAAGCCTGGACGCCTTTTCGGTTTACCTCTCCGCCTCCCCTTCCCCCCCTTCCGCCCCCCCTAACTCCCTTATTGGATTCTTGGTAACCTACCAAAAAGTAGGTTCTTCATGTAAGGTCAGGACGACAACTGTGTGCAGAATGGCGCTTCAAGGATCTTGTGTTGGCAGGGCCTGCAGTTCCTGGTTTCGTCTTCTTGGCACACAGTACCCGGTTCAAGGCTGGGCTTCTTCATTGCCATGCGGTTTGACTGAGAACACAGAAGCACGAGACAGCATTCGACATACAATCCTGCATCAAAACCTTGGACGCAGGGCGCAGAACCTAAGCTCGCTCCGCTCTCTCTCTCTCTCTCTCTCTCTCTCTCTCTCTGTGCGCGTGTGTGACTTTTTATGACCATCTTGGCTGCTGGCTCGACATTCGCAATGTCAGGCAAGCAGGCTCGCGAGAAAAACCAAAACAACTTTGTCTAAACACCTCCGAAATGCAAAGTCCTCTCAACCCTAAATCCTAAACCCTAAGCCCTAAACCCTAGACCTTATAGTTTGGGAAATCCACCAGTTGTTAACCGTTAAGCCATGAGCAGGGGCGCGCCTAACCTTTTTACTCAGAGGGCTTGAGCGTCACAGGTAAGTGCAACATACATGGAAGCAAAAGTGGAGGGAATGCACAGATATAAAATACACCCCCCTCGTTGAAGCGTGAGAATGCTGAAACGCAGTCAACGAATCCACGGCAGGCACTACGTGCTGCGTTTTGCTCCTCTACTGTATGTTCAAAGTGCGCTCACCCGAGTTTTAATTCAGGTTCAACGCCACAGATCACCGCGCACCAGCTTAAGAAATTTGAAGCGCTGGCGGGGATACAAAGGTGGCTCGTGCAAAACAGTGGTTCACTCAGCACCGACCTCAAAAGAAAGGAAAACAGAGCGTCACGGTCAAGATGCTAAGCTACTCCAGCAGAATTGCGGAACTCAGGACTCACCAGCTGCGATCTCGATGGTCGTAGCGCCAAGGTCCACGGGAGTGCTCCGTAGTGCGACTCCCTGAGCTCCACCAGGATCCTTGATCCTGCCACTGGCGATCACGCCAGGAACTTGAGGAATGCCAGTCGCCCTGCGACCAAGAGTTGTCGCTCCACGACCAGCCACGATTCGTGTCACGATCGGCCTCCCCAAAACGGGGGGCATTTTGCGAGGTCCTTCTTGCATCCGCCCGCGCCTGAGCGGCCCGGGACGCTTCTGCCGATTCCTTCATCCTTCGGCACGTCTCCTTTGCCCCACCATAATTCTCAGAGAGGATCTCGGCCAAAAAGACTGCCAGATGCTCTTCCTCATCGAAGTCCGGGATGCCAATGATGCCCTCCGTAAAGGTGAGGATGTGGGAAACCGCACGAGTGACGCGGATGGTCCGGGCGAATTCCTTCACGCCCATGAAGTTGCCGAGCCAAGCGTAGCCCATAGGTTCGAGGTTGGGGTCGTCAATGAGGCCGGCCAGGACGAGATCGTCGGCATTCTTGTCGAAGAACACCATGCGAGCCAGTCCCTCATGATTGACCTTTTTGTTCTCCCAGGCTTTGTTGGAGCCGTAGCCCAACTCACGTTGTTCGCGGGAACGACCTTGATTGGGAAGATAAGCGCATGCCACGCAGTCCTGAATAGTGAGCCGCCTTCTCGTCCAGCCGCCCTTGATAGCGTGGATCGCGTAGGTGTCGTCCTGGTCGAACTTGTCTACCATCGACGTGTAGCCGTGCTTCATGAAGCCTTTGAGATTCTGGCGTGCTAACATGATAGCTCGGCCATCTACGCTCTGCTGTCCCCTCAAATCATGCGTTCCAGCGGCCTGGCGAATCTTCGCGGCATCCAACTCCCAAAGGCCCTTCCCAAACTGCTCCGCCAGGGCGTCCAAGACATGGGAGCGCTCACGCGCCATCCACATTCTGAAGGCGCTCTGGGTGGCCCCACGGGTGACGTAGTAGCCACAGTGGAAGCACTTGTGCTGACCTTCGAGACGGAGCTTGCCACAACTGACGCACTGAACCTGCGTGATTCCCCTGTTCCATCCAGGACGCGGCGCCTGGGTTGCCGGTGCCGTAGAGCGGGTAGCCATTCCTTCATCAGGGACCACTTGCAACTGACCTTCAGTCAAACGGTTCCTTCCTGAAGGTGACACCTCGATGACATCGGCGTCAGTGTTGAAGCGAACGCGTAGAGGTGGAAGTTCAGGAACGGTGCTCTCGACCTCCTCAAGGATGGGAACATCGAACTCCTCCTTGACCAACGGGGCTTCTTCATGCTCGACATCACGCTCCTCTTGTGCTTCTTGGAGAGGTCCCACGGCTTCAACAACCATGCTTCCGGAAGATTCGGCCTCCTCTACCTGAGGGGCATTCTCTTCCTCCTCCCGTCCTTCGGGCCCATCCGTGGCGGACCACAAAATTTCATCAGTCCTTGTGTCACGAATATAAAGGACCGTGGACCCGGAGATAGCCTCTCGGCAGAGGACGCCGTCTGATCGGGAGTAAAACAGTCCGGCGCCCTGACTGAGGGCCTCCATGGTGTTGATGACGATCTCGACGGGGCGATCGCTCCTCACGCCAGGGACGTTTTCTCCCGGCCCTACCTCCCGGTCGGCAAAATACACAAAGGCATTCGCGGTGTGGTGCCCGGGGATAAAGCAGGAGTCCAAGATGGCAAAGGCTCGATCCTTGTAGGTGCGGTGGTAGAGCCTGCGTGGAATCTTCTCCAGGGGCAAAACCGGCCGACCTTCCCAGGTGGCAGAATGCACATCCATTTCTGCTTCTGGGATCATGCTGAA